AGCTGCTGAGCAAATGCCTCTCTTACAGTACTTCATGGAGGGAGAAGGCAACTGAAACTGATTAATACAGAGAAACTGGCAAATAAGCAGTATGTGCCAATCTACTATGCTAGGAACAGTAAATAGGTAGACTCTCTTCTGGATCATGTTCAGCTAGCCACTCTAGGGGTGGTCCAGCAGTTTTCCAGAGGTTAATCTTCTAGACTAGAAGTAGTTAGTGGTGTTCCAGACATGGTGTTCCAGACACAAAGGACCACATTTGGAACCTTATCTAGAATTCCCAAATCACCTCTAGTTCGGAAAGTTAATTTCCATTAAATCACCAGACAAGCCTCAAAAATGACTGGATCAGTGTGGTCTGGAAGAGGAATGGAACAAAGCATTCCAGGGTTCATTTTTAAAGCAGTAGATTTTAGGCAACAGCAGCTCAATTCAATATCCTTTTTTATTTTCTGAACATTACAATGAGAAAAGGCAGGGCTGTTGCATTGGAAGATAAAAATCCATTTCAGAATACTGTTAAAAAGGATTAGCACAGTCATGCCCCCCTCTTCTTCCTCAAATTAAATACTGGAGTTCTGTTTCACTCTGCTCTACCTTTTTGGAAGCTTAGAGAGAAGTTGTGAACAAAAGTGACTTGGAGAAGAGGAAACAACAGGTATGAAAGGAAGTCAGGAAACGAAGTACTAATGGAGACAGCAAACAAGTGGGAAGCAATGGCTGTGATGGACAATGACTAGTGACCAGAGAGGAAAGGGTATCTCCCAAGACTCCCAAAACATACCTCTGGTCACACCCATAGCAGATCACCCACAACCTCACCTCCAAAATAAAAAGCAGTACAGATTTTGCACATCTTGATAATATTGGTTTTAAGGGAAAATATTCTTCTGTACTGCACAGCTAATAATGATCTATGACTAACTCACTTATGGGGTGGGGATGAAATAAAGACAAAATTGTGGGGACAAGAGGGGAATTTGTATTGTCAGAGCATGACTATATTGTGGTTAACTGCAACCAGGGATGGGGTCTAATAGTATGATGGAATGGAATTATGAAGGCCAGACTCAGGGAGAAAAACATGTTCTTTCATCACCTGAGGTGAGAGGGAGAGATAAG